ATGGTGTGGGGAATATTTTCTTGGCACTCTTTGGGCCCCTTGGTACCAATTTAGCATCGTTGCAACGCCACAGCCTACCTGAGTATTGTTGCTGACCATGTCCATCCCTTTATGACCACAATGTACCCAACTTCTGATGGCTACTTTCAGCAGGATAATGCGCCATGTCATAAAGCTGGAATCATCTCAGACTGCTTTCTTGAACATGACAATGAGTTCACTGTACTCAAATGGCCTCCACAGTCACCAGATCTCAATCCAATAGAGCATCTTTGGGATGTGGTGGAACGGGAGATTCGCATCATGGATGTGCAGCCGACAAATCTGCGGCAACTGTGTGATGCCATCATGTCAATATGGACCAAACTCCCTGAGGAATGCTTCCAGCACCTTGTTGAATCTATACCACCAAGAATCGAGGCAGTTCTGAAGGCAAAAGGGGGTCCAACCCGTTACCTAATAAAGTGGCCGGTGAGTGTATGTGCCCACCTCTTTCTTACATTTCCAACACATATTGTCTGACATTATTTTCATTGCATGTAGCCTAGTAGGCGTATGATAATATCTGTGTAGAACCTTATACTGTATAAATTTACTTCTGGCCTCCTTCACATATTTACCACTGTCTGACAAAACACTCAACCATTTTTCTTTTGTATACTCTATTCCCAGATCTTTCTGCCATAAAAGTTTGATATTTGACGATTCACCACTTAAATCATAACTTATCAGCTTATAAAATTCTGAGGTAGAGTGACGGTCACGCGGCAACCTAATATAGTTCAATATCTCATTTCCTGCAATCTTTTTAAACTTTGAGGTAACACAGTGTCTCATCTGTAGATATTTCCAAAAATTTGCTCTACCTTCCAAATTAAATGTATGAGTAAGTTCGTTAAAGGTCATGAATTTCCCGTCTTTATACAAATCACCAATGGTGCATATACCGTGTGAATGCCACTGCCTCCGAAACACAGGTGTTTGACCAATACATATAGCAGGATTATTCCAGAGAGACGCATATTCCTCTAGTTGATGTGGAAGCTTTAACAATTTATGTATCTTTGACCAAACTTTACAAGAATGAACATAAACTGGGTTTGTTGTGTCGTTGCTTTGAGATAATTTGTGTTTTGGGTCAAACGGCGAGCAAATATCCCTTTCAAAATGTAACCAGTCCTGTCCGTTCTCACCTTCCCAATGCTTAACTAATTTAGCCATCTCAAATGACAAACAGTAGAGCTTTGGATTCGGAAGTCCTAGACCACCCTTATCTTTAGGCGCGTACAATTTTTCTAGTTTTATTCTCGGTCTTTTACCTCCCCACAAAAATTGCTTTATCAAATTTTCATACCTTTTAAAAATATCGGGTGGGATTGTAATAGGAAGCATCATAAGCACATAGTTAAACTGAGGGGCAGTAATCATTTTTATGATATTAATCTTACCCCATAACGTCAGCTTTATCTTTTCCCATTTTTCAAAGCTTGTTTTAATTTTTGAAAGAACCGGATTAAAATTGAGTGACGGTAACATTTCTAAATCCCTACTGAGTCTAATCCCAAGATACTTCATGCCTTCAGGTGTCCACTTGAATTTAAAATCTTTGACCATGTACGAGTTACATAAAGAGGATAATGGCATGGCTTCAGATTTAGCCCAATTTATTGAGTACCCTGAGACCTTTGAATACGTATGTATCGTGTCCATTAGGTGCGGTAAGGATTTAAGTGGATGAGTTATAAGTGATAAAATATCATCCGCATATAACAACAGTTTGTGTTCTTGTTGTCCCCACAATATCCCTTTGATGTCTTTATTGGTCCTAATGCTCACTGCCAGAGTTTCAATAAACATAATGAATAGCAAAGGGCTAAGAGAGCAACCCTGACGGGTCCCACGTGATAAATTAAAAAAGGATGAAATAGTACCATTTGTTAGGACTGCAGCCTTTGGTTCCTTGTACAGTATTCGGACCCACTTAGTAAAAAAAGGTCCAAATCCAAAGTTTGAGAGAGCTGAGAAGAGGAAACTCCATTCCACTTTATCAAACGCCTTCTCCGCATCTAAGGAGATGGCAACGACTGGATCCTCCTTTGACTGGCTTAGCCACATTAAGTGTAACAGTTTTCTAATGTTATCAGAGGAGGAGCGGTTGTTCATAAAGCCAGTCTGATTCTGATGGACAATGCTAGGGAGGACTTGTTGTAAGCGCACAGCCAGCAGCTTGGTTAATATTTTACAGTCCATGTTTAGTAAACTGATTGACCTGTAATTTGCTGGGTCTGTGTTATCTCTATCTTTTTTTGGAATCAAAGATATTAATGCTTCATTAAAAGTAGGGGGCAGTTGTCCTCTCTCAAAAATCTCTTGATATACCTTTTGTAAAATTGGAGCAAGAATGTCTATGTACTCCTTGTAGTATTCTGCTGGGATACCGTCGCAACCGGGGGACTTCCCCATCTTCATTCCTAAGATTGCCTTTCTAATTTCCTCTTCTGTAATTGGTGCTTCCATCCCGTCAACATGTTCCTGTGATAGTCTTGGAAGATTGAGTTTGGATAGAAAAGCATCACTGTCTTTTGGATTTGTCTCGTTAACCACTGAGGATGTATATAGTGTTTCATAATATTGTTTGAAGACACTGTTAATATCCTCTGCCGAGGTTACTAAAGTATCTCCTTGTTTAATGGCAGGGATTGTGTTCAAAATATCCTGTTTTTTAACCTGTCTTGCCAATAATCTGCCTGTTTTCCCCTCCCTCATAGAATGAAGTTTTTAACCTGAATAAGGAATATTCCACTTTTTTGTTATAAATTTGGTTTAACTGAAACTTGAGCCCACAAATATCCCGATAAAGTAAGTCATCATAACACCTAGCCAAATTGTTTTCTTTAAGTTTGATTTCTCTTTCCAATTCTTGAATTTTACGCAAGCTTTCTTTTTTCAGCCATGAGGTATATGCTATAAGTTTACCCCTCAAGAACGCCTTAGAGGCCTCCCAGACAGTTTGAACATGCTCTGTACTGCCAATATTTATTTCAAAAAAGTATCTCAGGTCCTGTCCCAGCTGTTCTTTAAAGGATTTGTCTTGTAAGATTGAAATATTCATTCTCCATCTCGAGCCTCTTATGTTCCCCAGTCTTAATCTTATACATAATTCCGTAGCTGCGTGGTCAGTAAGCGCAATAGTTTTAATATCACAGCTTCGCACACTATTTACGATGAGTTTTGAAATTAAAAACATATCGATCCTAGAATAGGATTTATGACAATGAGAGTAAAATGTGTACTCTCTTTTAGACGGATTAATTAACCTCCAAACATCCACTAGTCCTGCATCTTCCTTTAACATATGAACTGCATCTCTTCCTTTAGAGCTAGGTGAACCTTTTAATGTACTTTTATCAAGAACAGGATCCATAACTTCATTAAAATCCCCTGCTAATATTATTTGTCCTTCCATATTGCCTAGTACACTATTTATATTGTGAAAAAAATTAGGGTCCTCCTTATTGGGTGCATATATGTTGCAAAGTATAATCTTTACCCCTTCTATCATTGCTTCAATGCAAACCATTCTTCCTTCTGTGTCTTTAACTTCTTTTATTAGTGAAAACTGAACAGTCTTTTTAATAAGAATAATTACACTATTGCGAGCACTTGAGTGAGAGCTATGAAAGATATGTCCTACCCAGCCTGCTTTAAACTTGGACTCTTCCCCTTTATTTAAATGAGTTTCTTTGAGAAATATTATGTCGGCTTGATTTGTCTTTAAATAAGCCAGTATTTCGCGCTTTTTGTTTGGATTTCTACATCCATTAATATTCCAAGATGTTAATTTTATATATTTCCCAGTCATTAAAAGTTATAGGTTGATACACGTTTTAAACCTGCAACAAAACATTTTTAACAGATAATTTCTTTGTCTGCTCCCCCTGATACCCAACCCGCTCTGTGTGCACTCAGCCAAAAAGAAAACTATTTACATGACCAATGAACTTTCCCATCATGTAAACGAAGAAGGAAAAACTATATGAAAAATAAAAACAACTTAAATCCTACTCTACTGCCGCCATCTACTGCAGCTGAGGAAAAAAAAAAAAAAAAAGGAGGGAAAAAAAAAACCTTATTAGGTCCGTGGAGCTCTGCTTCGCTCTGTTCATGATGACAGGCGGCGGGGCCCGCCCCCCGACAGTCAGACACAGCATCTTCTACGGGGCTCTTAGGAATTGCAGCAGTCGGTTGAATTTGTGGTGTGACAGCCTGCACCCTCACCACTCAAAACCGCGTTTCTCCTTGGCTGCTATAATCACTTTATCCCTCGCTGATTGCCTGAGGAATCGAATGAGAACCGGTCTCGGGGCTCGGTTCGGGTCAGGTAGCGGTGCGAAGGCCCGATGAGCTCGCTCAATCTCAAACTCGGCATCATCACTAACTCCAAGCCCCTCGGTTAACATCTTCCGAACACAGCTCAAAAGTGTCCCATCATTACCGATATTCTCTTTCAGCCCAATAACTCTCACATTATTCCTCTCACTGTGATTTTCGAGAACTTGCATGCGGTTCATCATGGCTTCCATTAGTTTGCTTCCCTCACTACCTGCGGTGGTCCTCAGCCCACACCGGCACCTCACTTACGGAGAACGATACCAAATATGAGCCCCTTACTATAATATAATTATCTAATTACATGTCGGGGACGGAGAGCCTTTAGCCAGCTGCCATCTTGTCCGCCTGCCCACGTGACTCCTATAACATATTTTCTAAATTTTGAGAAACTGAAATGTTTCCATGTCCAACAAAAGTCACAGAACACAGAATAGGACGGAGAACGCTACAGTGGCTACATGTGTTATGCTAACAAATGCTGCATGCTGCTCTTTTAAAACATAACAATACATCATACATATCTTACATTCTTCATGTATTTGGTATTAAATAAACTGCAACAAACTAGAATAAATGGAAATCAAACTTTAAATCTTATAAACCACAACAGTTAAAGTTCCAGAAAGACCAGAAAAAACTAAAACATACACAGCTTTTAGACCATGGAGAAAATTAGTTAATACAGATATAATAAAGCAGCTGGGCTTTTCTGATTCGCCGATGGGAACATTTTAGTGTGGGCTGTATTTGAACATGGCCTTGGCGATCTCTGACAGACTGTTTCCAAACTCGGTCAGGACCAAATATTCAGCCATGGTCTGATCCTGGTACTGTTTCTCAGCATCATATGCCTTCGCCAGCAAACGGCTGCACACAGTCTCCACCGTTTTATGGTTCAACACTGACTCAGGACATCTGAAAACACAAACATGAGGGGCTGTTATGTTTAGTTATCTTATCTATGAGAGATTAACGAGTGTAAGTTAGTGAGTTAGCTAGTCTCACATGTCCAACTCTTTGCCTGCTGTCCCCTTAGCATCCGCTCTAGAGCTGTCTAATTGGTTCAAGCAACCAACACACTTGCAGCTGGAGGAACATCCGATGTTCGCCTGCGAGAAAATGCATAAGTCAGTTTCATAGCAGAATCAGCATGATCGGATTAACTACAGTTATTAGGGTTGAGTAAAGCTGTGAGGGAAATAAGCGACGCCACAGGTCTAATAAATTAATAGTTTACCACAGGTTTTCCGCGGGTCATTACAAATCATTAAAAGTCATTAAATTACTATTTTTTTTAAATAAGGCCTTAATTGGCACTAAAATTCATTAAATGTGATTATCGTGGAGTTTAAAATGCTTTATTTAAAAAATAAAAAAAACCTTTATGAAAACAATTTCATCAGTTATACATGCTCTGCGTATTTGAGCGGAACTGCTTCCGGTTGATCGTAAAGCTGTATGATCGTAAAAGAAGCTTGAAGCGGAAAAAAAGCTGGAGAATGGGGAAAAAGCTAATTTCAAACAAAAGTGGCTGGAAAACAAGTAATTCGGGACATGGCTGCAGCCTGTCGACACTAAAGAGGACGAAGGATTTTGGCGTGTTTTATATTTATATATATATTTATACATACATAGTCATGGGTACTTGTTTAATGGCATTAAAATTATTAATTTAAGAGCATTAAAAAAAATATTAAATTAGAGTTCCTCATTCCTGTATAAACTCTGTACCAATGTTAAAAGATGGCTCCTCACTTCCCATCTCCCAGTAGGACTCTAATTCCAAACACACCCCTGCTTACAACTGTCAATCCCTTTATCGTCCCACAGCGGCAAAATTTAACTCTGCATTTAGCCCATCCCCTTTGGGAGCAGTGGGCTGCCACTGTGCGGCGTCTGGGTAGCAGTGTGGGGTTAAGGGTATTGCTCAAGAATCCAAAGTGGAGGCTGTGGGGATCTAACCCGGTACTTGCAACCTTCTCAGAGCACAAGCGCACTGCTCTAACCACTAGATCAGAGGTCACGGATTAGCGAATAACCTTCCGGATCCGGATCCACCTGCTGGCTAATCCGGACCCAACCTGATTTCAAACATTTATAAATTACCGCATGTTGTCCGACGGCAGTGTCTAAATGTCACTTGCACCGTTTCTCCTGTTAATACGGTAAAGACCCTCCAGGCTGCCAATAAGCCGATGAGCTGCGTCAGTCTGGGTTGCTGCTGCTAGCTAGTTTTAGACACAGAAACTGAACGATTGTTGTTCTCTACTTCAAAGGACTTTAGATTTTAAAATGGACAAATGTTATATTTTTTTATACATTTTTTTATTTAAAAATTCTATGTATAACATGGATGCATAAACACCTCATTTTATTTCATTGTTAAATTCTGTTTATAATTAAAAAAAATACCTCCGGACTTTTACTGGTTGATGATTTTCTCTATTCAGACCCAGCTGATTTTTAATCGGTTACCCTTGGTCTAAGCCAACACTCTGTAGACATCAATCAATCTCAGACGTAATGCATACTGCACACTAGGGTTGTTAAAATATTTAGATGTTTAATGTAATATGTCAAAATGGTAACACACTGACTGATTCAGTTTGGTCTAGATTGTGAGGCTTCGGTGTCTGAGTGTGTGTGCATCTGGTGCATACTCACCTTATGGCAGTCACAGTAGCCCTTCAGGCATCCAGAGAGTCTGCAGTTGCAGCCTTTGTTGCACCAATTTCTGGTCTTTCCTGACTTCTGCCCAACAACCTGAGACTTGAATCCATTCGGGTTACGTCTTAACTGAAACGACAAAACAAGAAAACAACAACAAACAAAACCCTTATGCTCAAACAGTTTCACTTCCGAGCACATGATAAATGTAGACATTTCATTTTCAATTTTGTCAGATTTCATGTTGAATTCCTGTTAAAGTACTATTTCCCAAGTATAACTGGTACAATCACTGGACCTCATGCAACATAATTATTGTAGTCTTATTGTAACTTTCTTTTACTCCCCTCCCACCATTAGCTCCTACGAGTACGCCACCTCAGATACAACAAAAGTTCTTTACTGCAGATAACTGTGCAAATGATCGACCCTCTGGTTGCTTATCTGCTCTGTTGTGTAGCTTCAAGCTAGAGAGCAGTTTGGCTTTATTTTCTTTGAGTTTTTAACAAGAAACATTCATAATAAAATAGCCTAATATATTTTTTAAACAACAAAAGAGATTGTAGAAAACACATCCAACTGCTCTAAAAGTATTGCTTTATTTTTAAGAGCCTCAGTCTTTTGGGATCTTATCTTAAGTGTCTGTGTGCAGCAGACCTGTCTTTATGGTCATCCCTTTAGCTATGGGCCAATCACTGAAATCCACTTTCAGTCACAGTCTACACTTCCATAGGACTAGTGATGTTTTTAGTATAGTCCACCTTGCAGCTCTGCACGAGTTTTTTTAGCATCCAGAGCGACAAAACTTAATGTAAAAGCCAAGATTGAAGGGTTCGCTGCTGCACGTTTATTACTTTTATGTTAATCCGAACTCGCATGCCGTTCAATTGCAGCTTTTCCTCGACTGCTTACGCCTACATTGCATCGACAAAGAGGCAGAAACCATGGAATGAATCTCCACTACCTTTGGTCATATATTCACGCTCTTTTGTCCATTCTGGGTTAAACGACGTCCTGGTTTTGACAGAACGCTAACTTTAATACTTAGCATCAGTAATTCTGATCCTTGTTTACTTTTGTAACCAATGACAAGCAGATTTTTATCTGACACGCCACCACTCTTAGCCAATCATCTGTTAGATCAGATAGTGATGCATTTTTGATGATTGGATATTGTGCTGCAGCCCAGAAAAAAAATAAAAAAATAAATGACATGATAGTGTCAGCAGTACATTGGGAGGACTACCCTAACATACACTAGCTAATGGACTTACAAACTAAATGTATGAACCAGATATCTTGGATTGCCAAACCTTGATTGCTTCACGACGTTCCTCTTCATGTTCTTCATTGTTCTGGCAGTTAGAGCAGCCACAGTTGCTGCACATCACTCCAGCAGAGAAACACTCACAGTAGCTTAGAGACACAAAAACACAATATAAGTTCCTGCTGTGTTTATGGATTACCTGCTTAAATGTGGCCCTAAGTTAAATAAAGTAAATTTCAGACAGACCCCGCCACAAACGGTAGAAAATGTTTCCCAGAAATCTCACAACTGAATATTATAATTAATTCATTTAAGCATTATGTCACTTTCGGCCACTAGGGGCGTTAGACCTGTAACTTCCAGGTTAAGCACCCCTGAAGGCCACTGGCAGAACTGCACTGTAGCTAAATGAACCAATCCCCCTCTGTGTTCTGCCTAACAGCAGACCAGTTTAGACCGGCAGCTTGAGAAGTCAGACTGAACAAAAGCTAATATCTGTTAGTGATATTATATATATTATATATACTGCAACATTCTGCTGATGACAATAACAGATGAGATGAAATGGAAGATGGTTAACTTACAGCTTGAGGCATTTTGATCTGGTACAGTGGCAGGGCTTCTTGGATTTCAACTCTGAAAACAGGCCGGCAGGTCTACCAGGACAAAAGGCGGAAACAAACTCAACTTTGGCTTAAATCACCAACAGAGTTAATATAATGCAGTCTTAAGTGCTGGTTATCCACCCGCAGCAGTGAGTCGTAGTAAGCTTGAGATTTTTAGTGTTACTGCTGCTGCAAAACAGACCTTTTGCAACACATTTCTCTTGAGTTTCAGAACTTATAGAGCCAGAGTGGGTGACAAAGCCTGCCTTGGTGTGAAACACTGACACAAAGAGGACCCCTGCTCTGAGCCTGGAAACCCCTGGTTGTTGGCCTGCCTGCTGAGCTGGATGAAACTCAGCTTTCCAAATGGACATGGGCAACAAGGTCTGCAGGTCTGGCATGATTAGGGACAGAACAAACAATATATCTTTTGACGATGAGTAGAGACAAGCTAACAGAATAAACTGCATGCTATGCTACAGTAACATGTGTTGAGCTGTTGTTGAAGCTTGGACAAGCTTTTTTTCACTAAGGGTTAAACACTGATATAACATTAGTGTTCAGTCATTTAGTGGAATCCTGATGTCTATTCGCTGCTAGCTATTTCAAGGAGGGTAAAGAATAATTTAACTAAAGGTTATTGGTTCTTGATTAAGCAAATCATTCAATAAAACATTATTTGGCCAAATAATGTTTTATTCACCTCATGGATTTGCATTGTGAATTGGTCTGAAAACAATTTCTTTAAAATTAGTGAAAAGCTAATTTGATCACATCCCAAATTCTTCCAGATAAACTTTGGTTTTCAAACACAGAATCCATCTTAAACTGTAATATGTTTTTCAACCGTTTTCCCCTTCCTCTTTGTACATAGTAGTTAGTTTTGTTCAGTTGAGTTTTACTAGTCTTAGTTGGGAGTGTTAAACTGAATTATGTTTGACTTGGAGCTGAATGATTTTTGTTAATAAACTCTTATATTTTGAACAGAAGTTGTGGTGAATTTATTCCATGTATGTGCAGAAATAACTGTTTGACCATGATTAGTGCTCGAATAACTCTTTCATCTATTGTTCTAACACACAGCTAGTAGGGCCTGTGTTCATAAACAATATATAACAGCTGAAATAATATCTGATTAAATCAGATATTTACCACCCCTACAGGGGAGGGCAATACACATCTTAAAGTATCAGAAATATGAATTCCCACCTGGCTCGGAAATTAATTTAACATAAAATAACAACAGATGCATGGCCCATCATAGAGAGCCAGCAGCTCTGGGCAAATTCTAGATGTACACTTGCACCTCAAAAACAAAGAACACACATTTGAAGACAAAAGATTTTAGACAGAGAGGACAGATGGTTTGAAAGAGGTGCCAAAGAAGCAATCTTTGTGGAAAGAGAAAAGCCATCAGTGAGGAGAGGGGAAGGATTCAGGTTTAAACTTTTAAGCATTTATAATTCAGTCATGGAAATCATTCCCAGGAAGTTACATAAGCACTGCCATCATGATTCAAAATGCCAATCACATAGCAAAGAAACTGCAAAAGGCTCCAACAATCCATAAGAACAAGGGCTTACTATTTGATTGAAATCTGACTTGGAATATTAGCAGGAGGATTGACCTCCATGCCTCTGAAATACATCAGCACTCAAACTAGGGTTTGTTGTGGTCCGAGGCCAACATGATTGAGAAAGACTCCTGGATAGGTGTCGAAACATCATTAAAAAGCTGAGCAAAAGTCTGATTGCCTTCCAATTAAAGGTCAAATAGAAAGGAGTACGTCCACAACAACCAGGGGTTTCCAGGCTCAGAGCAGGGGTCCTCTTTGTCTCAGTGTTTCACACCAAGGCAGGCTTTGTCATCCACTCTGGCTCTATAAGTTCTGAACTCAAGAGAAATGTGTCGCAAAAGGTCTGTTTTGCAGCAGTTTGGTTCTGAAAGGAATGGCTCTGTATCATGAAAAAGAAAGTTTAATTATCCAAAGGACCCAGTTTTGCATCAAATTTTGATCCTGAAAGTAAATAGATAAGACAAAAAGCAACCGGACAATCTGTGGCGTCCAAACCGCTCCAGGAAACTATGTTGGGCTCACATCCCGGCAGATTCTTTTATCATAAATTCTCCTCTCACAGCATCAGTTGGATTCAATATACCAAAGTATCAACAGCTTGTTTTCTCTGTTGTGTAGCTTTAGTAAAGCTGATTCAAAACATTGTTTGTTTTTTTTTATTATTAAATATTTTATTCAATAAAACAGCGAACCCCAGCTAGTTACACAGTTTAGTACAGCTGCAGCTCCAGACGGATTTCCGTATCGTTATGGTCCGGGCTCCAGAACAACAAGAACCGTGATGGATAACAGTCAGCTCAGGCGGGGACCCGCAGCTTGAACCCCACTGGCCCCGGAGCCATGAGCCAAACCAATAAAAACCACATCTGACGGACAATGTTTCCAACCCGGACAGCAGAAAGGACCCGGTGCTTGGACCGCTCCCTGCGATCGGGTTACCGAGGGAGCGCCTTCCCCATCCAGGCTCAGCGGCGCAGCACAGCCTGCTATTCAGAACCACCCGCACCGCACACAGGGCTCCAACACTGACTGCCAGCCTTCACAAATCTTCAGATCTTAGTGTAATATTTCATGGTATAAACAACAAAATGCTGGACATTTTTTCCCTTGTGATGTATTTAATTTTATACATACTATCAAATTAGAAACTATAAGTATGTGTTTTCTATTTGAACTTTAAAGCCTGTTTGTTGTTGCCATGACTAAGAATTTACACAGGCACATTATTCACTGTCTTCATTAGGTTTTAAAAGCCCCTGAATGCCTTTGCACCAAAATATTAATTGTTGTGTTAATGTTGTATCAGTCTACTTCCAGAGAACTGCAAACACCCTGAGTATTTTTAAATCAACTTGTTTAAAGATGTATTTAACTGCTCTTTATAAGCTATTATTATTATTATTATTATTTAAGTCTGTAGTCCAATTTTTATTCCCATTTATGTAACTGCAACGTAATAACAATGTATTTTCTTGATATAAAGCACTTTGACTACTTTTTGAAATAAAAATAAGTTTATCTTATTCTTCTAATTATATAATAATTTAAAATCCATATTTCTTACCTCTGGATCGAGGCCTGCACCTGGATGTTGGATGTCTGAACTCTGCTATCATACATGGAACATGCTGTCTGATGGTATTCTGGGATCTAAGCATAAATACATCACTGAATACTTGAATATTATATCTAAGCATTAAGTACCCAGTTAGGTTGAAATACCATCTCTGGAGCTGCAGAAATGACATCATCTCTCACTCCTTTTGGAGTCTGCAGCACACTGTCAACTGATGAAAACAGAGAAAATTATGAGGCTATAGTTCTTCAAAATAAATCAAATATTTTCTTTTATGTATTTTTCTCTCCTTCACAAAAAGAAGCCCTACTTGTCAATACAGTATTTCAAACCGTTGCTGCAGCGCGTTGGAGGGCCCTCCTCTATCACCTATCAGGGACTATGTTTGATGGATAATGGAGAAAAATCTACATACATGTTTCTAAAGACCAGCTGAGCTAAACAGGAAGAGTAAAATGAGACATGGGGAGTAATCAGGGTGGACCCGGGTAGATCTTAGCTTGGACTCCTTTAAAAACTGCAGTCTGGCTCCTTTGCTCTGCTGCCACACCTGATTCTGCCCCGTCCCTCTTGGCTCCATAATCTCTGGCCCATTAGGATGAACTCACCTGCCTGCCCACCATTATCCACTCATGAAAACTTCTTGCCTTATTTCACTGTTAGCGGGAATAGCGGGAAGGAATCAGCTCTATCGCTGCATTGTAGGTTTTTTAAAACTGAAATCTAAATCCCCCCCCGTTTAAGGTTGGTTTTTCCTTCCTAACATAGATGTCTTCCTTCACGCCTCTCTCAACCCGCCTTTCTTCTTTGTCCAACATTCTGTACCTCAAAAGAATGTCCTTTGTCCATACGGTGGTGGTGTACCACTTGTTGTCTTGTTCCGAGGAGGTCGCAATGGGACCTCCCCTGGATGGGAAAGGAAATGTCTTCAAACTTGAAGTCCAGTGGATTGTTTTTTAACTTTTTTGGAATGACTATGATCTGGATGACTAAGAATCTCTATAAAAAAGTTAATCCTAACCTTCACTTGGAGCCATTTTACAGTATTGGTATGATTTTGCAGGTTCTAAGTCAAGGTATGTAGGTCCTTCCTCTTTAGGATTAACGAGCACTTCCTGTTCATCTCCATACAACACCTGAAAATAAAAAGAGGTCATCTTCAGTCCCCCAAGTCTAACATCGGAAATGTTCTTAGAAATAAAATATGGGAAGATACACTTTTTTTTTACAGTAGACCAGGGGCAAACAATTAAAAATCAGTGGGGTCCGAATAAAGAAAGTCATCAACCAGTAAAGGTCTGGAGACATTTTTAATTATGATCTGTCACTTTAAACATAATTTAACACTGAAATAAAATAACATGTTTATGCATCTATGTTAAACATTGAATTTTTTTAATAAAAAATATATTTAAAAAATATAACATTTTATGATTTTAAAATCTAAAGTGTTCTTTGATGTAGAGAACAACAATCATTCAGTTTGGTTTAAAGACAATTTCCTGATTGCCATATTTTCTCAAACACCTGAACTGAGCGTTTGTTATTTTCTTTCTTTTTTCTGTCTTAATGAGAGCAGTGGGCTTTATGCTGCCCTGCAAGGCTTTAAACCTGGGTTTGGATGGAGACTAAGCCATTCTAAAGCACATATCAAGGAGCTCATTTTCAGCCTGGTGGAGAATCCTGCTTCACAGCAGCAGGTTGAGCCAAACATCCTCTAAATGTGCAGGGTCATCTTTGAGCACCATTTCACTTTTCTTTCACCAGTTTCACTGCAGTTCTTCCAGCAGTCCACACTTTCTCTGCTCTCTTTTTCTCATCGTCTTCTCCTTTTTTCCCATCGCCCGGCTTGCCACAGGTTTGCCTGCTGTGTCTAAAAGTAGCAGCAGCAGCAACCCAGACTGACAGCAGCTCATTGGCTAGTTTGGATCACGTGCAGCCTGGAGCCAGCTCTCTGGAGGGGTTTACCGTATTAAGAGGTGAAGCGGCGCAAGTGGCATTTAGACAGCAGTAATTAATAAATGTTTTAAATCAGGTTGGCTCCAGATTAGCAAGCAGGTGGGTCCGGCTCCTGACCACGGTCCACTGTTCCATGACCTCTGTAGTAGAGTAACTGGGAGGTGTATTAGCTGGAAACAGTGTTTACATGAAATAGCTGTAAATTGCCACTTGTTTTGGGCCCTTTAATGCATAAATGCCCCGTTTCCCAACCTTCACGTCTGTTTTAAAGCGTTGCCGGGCTCATTAGCATATATAGGCACCAGGTGTGCCCGGCAAGCTACGAGAGTCACGTCCATTGGGGTGTGCAGGTGGATTTCTATTGGAGGAGGCGTTGGTGCCGTGCTCATCGGGCTACTGCACCAGGATTTGGATCCTGGATACTTGTGCTGTGTAAATGGATTTTTGATGTCACCTGTGGCTAGTGATGGTGTGATGAAACCTCATGAGGCATTGAATCGTTTGAGCTAATTGCTTCAACGATCCCCACAGTTCATAAAGCTTCATGTGAACATGTCACCACCTACTGGTGGAGTGCAGAACTTAGTCGTTTTTATTCAAAGGTTATAGTTTTTCCACAGTTTTTGGTTTTAATCTGGTTGGAAGTTATGTGTTCAATCTTTTGGCTAATCCAACCAATCTGATTTGGCAGTGTTTTTACCCAATCTACATTTGTACTGGAGCAAACCAATACAAATTAGTCACATTAGCCAAAATACTTGTTGAGTAGCCTTGGCCCATCTCATTACATCTCCACCTGTGGCCGGTTCTGTGTAATGCCAGGTCGCTTTTTATATTGTTGCTACTGGTTTTTCTGACGGGTTTTCTAATTGTTTTGTAGTAAGAATTTCCGGGGGTTTCACTGCAGTGTCTGAATGTACCCGTTTGCATGGCTGATTAAGGTACTAGTTTTTCATTTTACCTTATATGGCTTTATTATTGTCGGCAGACACTTTATTGTCATTTTCGGGTATAACAGATTGCTGTTGTAGTACATTATGCTCTCATCAGGGTGGTTTTTTTTAGATGTTTACGGTTAATTGGCTAATAAGTCGTATCTAGAGCTGGAGTTGTAGAGCAAGAACTACAGAGCCAGAACGACATTTTATGAATTAGCTGATTGGGCATAATCTCAGATTGCTTCTAGTGTTGTCATGGGTTCCTGTGCCTTAATGAGTTTTAAATTAGAATAATAAAGTATATTTTTGATTGTAAAAGAATGTATTAATAAATATATATATTTGTGTACTATTTCTGTTCCATCATTTTAAGCCAGACCTACCTATGTACCTAATCGGGAGACCCTAGGTTACTTGATGTTATTTTTGAGGTCTACCAGTTGGCTTTAGGGCTGCTTCCACCGTCACAATCGGGGTCCTTCCCCTGTGTTACAGTAGGATGTCAAAAGGTTGGATATTTCCTGATATTCTTGATATCTAACAATATTTCCATAATCAAAGATCAAGTAGAACAATGATTATATACTGACCTAACATTGAACTACCATCACAATTTGGTAGCCCATTATTTTACTGGATATACAGAGGTCATTGTTTTATAAACATTTATAATATAATAATAATATAATATAAAAGCATTGTCTCATCTATTTCATATTTTGAATTCAGAAATGTAATCTCAAATGGTTTTTGTACCATTATCTATAGCTAAGGATCTGAGGAAGATGTATACAGGCTCATTCAGCACCATACGTCCAGGAAAGCTGCAGGACATGAATATATTTCTAAATTCACCCACACAACCAACTGGCCTCTACCTTGACTCAGAATCTTCAGTCTGATTCAGATTACCTCCTGCTTGTAGTGTTCCACCATTATGCTGAGCCATCACAGAGATAATTAACAATAGACCAGTTGTGTTAGGAAATCCTTTGATGAGCTGCTGTTTGAAGGACACTGCAGGCCACCTGCCTGATCTCCTTTATTTATTTACCAGGCAAACAGTGCAGCAAATAGTGCTTCTTGGTTTCACACCTCAACCTGAAGCACCTCAATCACCCAGAGAGGTGGTGCAACTAACAAAATCCTGTCTGAGGGCCTCATCTTAGGGTCCTGTCACACCTTGCCGAGTTCTTCAGCATATGCCCAATGTTCCAGGATCTCCTAAAATGCTGGCATACACTGAACTTTCTATGTATTTTTTCAGTTTTCGGCGTATACACAACGTATTCATGACGAGTCCAGAACTTCTGTCCAACGACAGCCTAACTTCTGCATAACGCACGGCAACGTAATGCCCAGGAAATGATGGAAAAGCCAGTGACCTGAGGGTATTAACCTAGCCGCTGTTAACCACCTGCAAAAAAAAAAAAAAAAAAAGAATAAATAAAACGAAAAGAAATAAAGAAGGTTTTTGGAGGCAGCAGATTGAGCGTCATGTCTGCTAGGAAGTTTGTTGGTGGTGGGCGTGAACGCAGGGAGGATCCATCACACTCACCTTCTGGCTCACCCTATGATGGGGATGAAGTCTGGAGGAGAACTGATGGTTTCCTCCTGTGAACCCCCTTTATACCAAAACGCTGCTAATACGCCATTATGCAGTAGCTGGAAGTTAGAAACACGTTCAGCGCTCGTCTGGAACACGTCAGATACGTGATATGCGTTGGAGAGAAGTTCTTGATAAGTTGCGCAAAAGTTATGCACAAGTTACTCAGAGGTTTAGGATAAGCTAGACTGATGAGGGACTGACACTGAACGTATGTCGACCATCAGATAACTGACCTGGAACCGATGGCCCAAGTAGTAGCATACGCTGGTCGATGTCGTATGTTGACATGTGCCAGCGTGTGCCAGGGTGTTTCAGCTTACCTCAGCATGCTCATTTTGCCAGATTTTTCCTACGTCAGGTATATGCTGGCTAAATCGTAAAGGTGTGACCGGGGCTTTAGCCTTTAAAACCTCACAATTTATACTCACATAATACAACTAAAAACTGCTGCACTTACAGTCTGAATGATGTTAGATGCAACTTCAGCTGATTGCTCCTGAATCTGCATTCTGTCCACAGGGAGATGTGTGTCTAAATCCACCTGAAAAGAACAATTAGAGCCATGAACAAAACATACAAGCGGAACCAAATTTACATCTGAATGTAGAAACTAACCTTTACATTGGAATAAACTGGTTCTCCATCAAACCAAATGGCAGAGGTGGAGGGGAGGTCAGTGCAGTAGGAAGACCCAGGATTGGGGAGACCATGGTACCTACATCCCCATAGATCCCAATTATAGTTCCCCCAGACCTTTTAATAATGGCCCACTGCAGCCGCAGAGTCCAATGCTACATAGCTTATACAACAAACGAAGGTAATTCAATGTGCAGTAAAAGAAATTAACTGAAGTATGACAGTTGCCTGCCTTTATAGAAGGTGCATACGGAGTAAGGGATGAATGAGGACATACTCAGCAGGTAGGTGGCTCAGGCTCAGCTGGGACTCCATCTGATAGCTGTGGTCAGGCAGCTGACATGGCATAGGCTGATACGGTCTGATAGGCTGATCATATCTGAGGTCAGTTGATAGTGAGATACATCAAGATTTTCTCAATTCACAAGCACATTCTTGACAATAACAGAGGAAGTATGGACTCTGGGAGAACGGGAGCACACAGAGGCCATTTCTCAATATGTGTACTTGTGCGTTCTGGTGTACTCGTGAAACATCCTCAGCCCTAGTTCTGTTTGGACTCACAAGAACACCAGACAAAGATCGGACAAAGTCCCCAGATGTTGTTCTCACCCCTCCCTCTTTACCCAACATGCATCAGAGCCGACTTGTCCGTTCTCAAGATTGACAGCTGTCCCAGCATGCACTGCAGCAGCACCTTCCAGGTTAGCGCTCACAGAGCTTGGAGTGTTAAAGTCGTAGGGAAATCATATTTAAATGTCAAATCATTCTGGCTTAAACATGAATATAAATGTACTCTTTATCAGACATATTGTCCTAAAATAAAAAAAATGTCTATATAAAAAAAATCTTCTCTTAAAATCAGTGGGATTTTTTTTGGTTACCTTCTGCAGGCCAGTTGGTTCTACGTCAGCCTGAACACCTACATTCAGCCAATCATATATCAACGGTCATCTGTCAATCATTTTTTTGGTCATAGCATCTTGATTCATATGTCGCAGCTAATATACGCAACGGTTGAAATCAGAATCATTTCCTTTCCCATTGAGTTCCGTCCAAGTGTTCACAGGGATGGACGTCTGTGTCTTCAGCAGGCGTAGAGCTAACAGAACTGGCAGCGTTGCGAGGCAAGGGCTCAAACATGTACGGCTGGAAGCCTTCTACACCAAACCAAGCTTCTGCCGCCCTGGCGTCCTCTTCCACAACATCTTCGTCCCCGCTTTCCTCCTCTAAATAAAAAATGGATGACGGAGGAGACTTCCTTGACAGTGTTGTTTCTAAGTCACCAATTTAGTGCTACTTGGTCCCAATGGAATTTCCCATTGGGAACCTACTAGCACTAATTGCTAACTGGTTAGTTAGATGCTTCCAACAAACTGGCCACAAGAATTCCGAAATGCTATGGTTGGAACAGCCGTTTCCCTAAGACTTTAAGTTAAAAGTTCACTTATCTGTTGTTTTTGTTCTATAAAAGTACCTTTTAAGATAATTTAAGGCGAGAACATTAAACTTACAGGTGCAGTTGGAGATCTTGGAAAAATAGTTCAAGCATGCCATATTTTTGAACATACACAACCATGCCTCTCTCTTCAGACTACCCCACAAAACCACGCTTTGAAAACACATTTACTCACATGCTGTCTGCAGCGCATCTAGAGCAGCTGAAGCAGCACATCGCACGGAGCTGGCAGGGAGTCAGACACAGCACTGCTGATGCAGAGCGCTATGATCACTCCTCTGAAACAGTTTATTAACGCCTTAATTAACTTAAAATGTAGAAACCTGCCGGCAGAATATGTTCGATTTTATTATCCTGGTGCTTGCAGTTTGGATTACGTACATGAAAAACGCCTTCCAGCCGCTGTGGCAAACTGTGAGGAGGCGAGCGGGCCTGAGGCAGCTGCTGCTGGGGATTCCCAGTGACAGCGCACCGCCGGTATGTGGGGGTCTGAGCGGCTCCCACAGAGAAATAATTTTTGAAGGCAGGATGGTAACCTGGATGAACTGACTGCACAGACCGTGTTTTCAGGAGGACTTTCTCACTTCAACATAGATTCAAACTACTTTTTACCCACTGATCACAGCAAATATAGCTGCCATTGTTCCAGGCAAAGAAAGGATAGGGTAGCTCCGCCCAACGCGCATCAGACCCACTTTTCCACCACGCAGCCAGAGCAGCAAAGATGCTTCAGCCGTGCATCAGAACTAAAATTGTACAAGCATTAAAAATGAAGCAGTAGGGTGTTTTAGCTGGTCCTACAGCTTTACGTGTGATGAGGGTGACCAGACGTCCTCTTGGTCGCTCCATCATTGGCCCAAGCAGCCCATTGTCAAAAATGTGTCCTCCTTTTCAGAAGCCCAAATCTGGTCACCATAGGTGTGAACTTAGCATAACAGTGGCTAGCTTCCAGCCATGATGTCCTGCACGAGCATTGCGGGGATCGATTCGTTCATGTGTCAGGGTACGAGCACAGGGGGAGGGACGAGCAGACGAACATGATTGACGTGTCATGGAACCAATCGTGTACAACGGAAAATCTTTTGTGATTGGCTGGGGTAATTCATTTATTTCTCACTGTTGTGGGGACCATTTATTTTAGTTTCACTTCCAGACCTTCTATTCTACTGCTTGCTAAGCGGCTGTGGGGAGATATTAAAGCCACATAGTTTAAAATACGTCAGAAAAGATCTCCTACTGCACCTTTAAGGAAGAGCAAAGAACTGTGTATCTCACTTCTGAGATCCACCATATCGGTGAAGTAGTACAACAAAATGCACTCATTAAATCCTGACATATACGGGTAAATGAATATTTAAATGACGTGATACCTGAGTGGGTCCAGTAGATAGTGGGAGATGACCTGCTGATAAGGACGGTCAGCTGACACCTGGCCCTCTATATAAGGTGCAGCTCCCCTGTGATGCATTTCACTGTTTTTTCTGTCCATTTTGTGGCAGCACAGGGCACAGTGACAAAAACCCTGCAGAAGAAGAAAGGTTTGGATAATCCCCGAGATAAATGACTGCTTAAAATGCAAATGATTGGAACTTAAATAGGGATAAAGACTGATATATATTTAAGAAACTCATATTATAATTACCTTAAAATATATTCCAACTGTTCTAGGAATTTAAAAGGACCTGTGGGAATAGGAATATATTAGATTAGATTAACTTTATTGATCTCACAACGGAGAAATTCACTATATATATATATATATATATATATATATATATATATATATATATATATATATATATATATATATATATATATATATATATATATATATATATATATATATATATATATATATATATATATATACAGTATACCAGTTTAAAATATACATTTCTAAAAGAATATCATATCAACTATTTATTTTAATAGCAGAAATACCTCCTGTGGAACCAACTACCAGTTTTAGTCCGTGAGGCAGACACCCTGTCTACTTTTAAGGCTAGGCTTAAAACTTTCCTTTTTGATAAAGCTTCTAGTTAGGGTGGCTCAGGTTATCCTGAGCTATCTCTATAGTTATGCTGCTATAGGCTTAGACTGCTGGAGGACATAGGGACCCTTTTTTCCATCATTTTGCTTCATTCTGTCTCTATTCTCCCACTCTGCAGAATCTGTTAGTTCAATCTCTAACGTTCTGCTCTCTCTGCTTTTTCTCATAGTAGCTTCATCTGGTCTGTTCCTGTTTGGCTGTGACTCCATCCTGGAGAGAAACATCAGCTGTGCTGCTGCCATCAACACCTTTGTTTATAGATGCTGGAGATCGGCCTGTTTTTCAGTGTAGTCCTGTTTCTCTGGCTGTGAATAACTGGATGTGCTCTCTTCATCCTCTGAAATGGGAGCTGGCTCAGAGCTCGTCTGCCTGGCTGTGTGTTTCCTGGACGGGGCCGCCTGTGGAGCTGGTTGACAGTTGCCTTTTCTATCTATGCTTCTATTTCTATGTCTGCTTCTGTCTCCTTGAACCCCAGTCGGCCTCAGCAGATGGCCGCTCACACTGAGTCTGGTTCTGCTGGAGGTTTCTTGTATGTATATATATATATATATATATATATATATATATATATATATATATATATATATATATATATATATATATATATACGTATATATATAATTAGGGATGGAACGATTTATGAAAACCGTCCGAATCGTTCAGTTCGACTGTCTCGGTTCGGTTCGCGTGTGTTTCGTTCGGTTCATGCGCTGCTCCTTTTTCTCATAGGCGAAGCGTTTACACTCCAGAGCAGAAGGTGGCGGTACTGCGACCAAAGCAAACCACCAGTAGTAAACAAGAAGAAGAAGAAGCGAAGCAGCAGGGAAAAAAATCAGTTGTTGTGGAGAATTGTGTCGGAATGGCGAGTGGGAAAGAACAGGAGTTGGAAGACGCGCCAGCAGCACTTTATAGGTCTGCTGTATGGGAGCGCTTTGCATTTAGAGTGACCGGCGATGACGGCGGAGAGAAAGTTGTGGATAAAAGTGCAACAGTGTGCAAGCATTGTGCAACACGTTTTGTTTATGCTAACAGCAATATGACCAACATGTCATGCTAACCCCGAAATCCCTCATACTCTGTCAGCAACCCCCGCTCCGCCCCGCTGCGCTCCAGACCGGCTGCTCAAAGCAAAGCCTACAGCCTCCACTGTGGCTCCCGTCCACTCCCCTCTGAGTTCCTTGGAGATGGTAGCGAGCATGCGCGAGATGATTAAATTCAAAGCAGCAAAACATACGGAAATGATCCAGGGTTTCCGCGGATCATTTAAAATAATTACAATCCATTATTTTTGGGGGGATTTTTTCATTAATTCCATAAATTTTTATGGGATTTCGGTGTAACAATCAACATATACCGAACCGAAAACCGTGACCGCGAAACCGTGAATAGAACCGAACCGTGGATTTGGTGAACCGTTCCACCCCTAATATATATATATATATATATATATATATATATATTTATATATATATATAATCAAGCGTGCAAAATTTGCAAATAGAAAAAAATACTACAGCATTAACAGACATGTAATTGGCTTCAGTTCAACCCCGTACCACCAACAGGCAATCAGCAATCCAGTGAATAGAGATCAGTGGTTACTAAACACTAATATACAGTAGGTGGCGGTAAGAAGAGGAAGAAAGGTTTGGATTAATTTAGTACAGTTACATATATTAGCAATACATTCACATTTATACAGAGGCATGAAAAATAACAAGCAAAATAGGAATGGCTTTTTCAATACCAGAATTCAATATAAAAATAGGAAAAGGAATTTCAGATGGATTATCAGGATAAACAGGGGAATTGTTGGTAATATCATTAGCTTTACTTTTAATGGGTAGAAGACATAAAACCATTAAAACAGCGATTTGTTCAGATTTAAGCTCTAAAATATTAAGTTTAAAATGCAATCAGTCAGATACTAGGATGGACATTCTATTAGAAATATTTCATGCATTATTCAGATTAAAAAATATGGGTTTGATCGTTGTATTTGTTTGGGTTCCAGCACATATTGCAGTAGAAGGAAACCAGAGGGCAGTTAAAATGACAAAGAGAGCAATTCAAAATCCTTTAGTTTTACAGTTTAAACAAGTAACTCTGAAGGGAAGAGTATTATTAAAGAAAAACTGATGGAAAAATGGCAAAAAAAAGGTGGGATGAAGAAAAAACAGGAAGATGTTTTATAAATTTCAGAAGATAATAGGAAAAAAAGAAATGGAAGACGAAATAGAAAGGAGGAGAGAGTGATAACATGGTTAAGATTTGGGCAAACTGGACTTAATTAAACACTTTACAAAATTCAAAAGCAAAATATGATTACTGTGGAAAATATGAAACAATAGTACATGTTATACTGGAATGTCATCAACATGAAAGAGAAAAAAGATATATGAGGAGAGAGTTCGAATGTATGAAGGGAAAGATTAATTTATTAGATATTTTGAGAAGAATTTGGGGAATAAACATTTACAAATAATTATTCAATATTTCAAGAAAACTAAATAAATTAATAGAATTCGACTATAGAGAGGGTGAATGTGTGTATGATATAGAAAAGTAAAATACAAAGTTATGTATAAGTATGTATGTGTGTATGCCTGTGTGTGTGTGTGTGTATATAATATATTTATATATATAATTGGCTCGTTACTTTAGTTTTTAATCATTTCAATGGAGTTACCGTTATTATTTTTCACGTCGTCAATACCAAATTCAATCTAATTGGATGGGAATCTACGTTGCATTTGACGCACCACTACAAGATGAATCGACAGATTCTGCGGTATTCATTGGCGGCAAATCATTGCAGCTTGGTGGCGGTGGCGTTAGCATAGTAGTATGGACGACGAGATGATTGAAAATGAACACAACGGAGATCTAGTCCTATTGGCAGACATCCATTTAAAATGTAGGCAACGGCATGAAAAAATTGGTTTCTACTTTTACTTATATACTTTAAGTAAATTTACAAGCCTGTACTTTGTTACTTTTACTTGAGTAAAGAAGTTTAATCAGTACTTCCACTTTTACCAGAGTATTTTTTAACACAAGTATCTGTACTTTTACTCAAGTACGGAAAGTGAGTACTTTTGCCATCTCTGTATATATATATATATATATATATATATATATATATATATATATATATATATATATATATATATATATATATATATATATATATATATATATATATATATATATATATATATATATATATATATATGAGAGAGAGAGAGAGAGAGAAAGAGAGCATCACCAACCACTCCACACCAGTAAGTGGCGGTAATGCTACTGAATGTTTGTTGCGAAAAGCCAATAAATTCAAGAAGAAGAAGAAATGGCGTCTGGGCCGCCGTAGAAATGAGTCGGGCTATGTGGAGCTCCGTGCTGATCACCGGCTGCAGCAGAGGAATCGGTCTGCGGCTGGTCAGAGAGCTGGCTCACAGCAATAACAGGCCGGCCACCATCATAGCGACAGCCCGCCAACCATCCACGGTAAACTGCCAACTGCTGCTGCTTCTTCTTCCCTGTGTAACCCGCACCGACTGAACCCCACGGCTCAGACTCATAGACGCCCCGTAATCTTTGCATTACTATCCACAACAGCTGGACTGAAATCAAACGTACCTTTAATTATTATTTATGTAACCAAAAACTAACACAGCGGCCGCTGGTTGGCTGCCAACCCGGTAATAAACCGAAGAGTGAACAACAGTTCTCACCTGAAGTCGAATCGTTTCATAATTACCATGGCAACCGATACTAACGGTCAGCTGTCAGATGGAATGAGCTGCGATCCCGCCCCCTGGTGGAGAGGAGCTGCTATGGCTTTAATGCAGGAATTGAAAAGGTTTTAGGTTTGCTGGGATGTGAATGCAGAGAAGTAGGCAGATAAAAGTGCATCACTTCCGGTCTGTGACCATTAAGGAGGATAAACAATCTCATCCAGAGGAACAAACCAAGAAGGCTGTAATTTTTATACATATAGCAGTAGTTTTCATTGATTTAATTAAATAGATTAAAAAGATAGATTCATATGACAGAGTATTGGGATCAGGCTAGAGATTTTTTTATTGTTTTAATACGAGAATAAAGTCATAACATCAGAATAATGTAACATTATAAAGTTATAATATGAGGGTAATAAAGTCATAATATTATGACAATAAAGTCATAATATTATGAGATCAAAGTTCTTTAATATGAGAAACTCTTACAAGAAGCACTGTCCTCCCTAAAGTTCACCAATTAAGAAATATTAAAGGTACAGTGGAGGACGATCCAGCTGACAGCCTGGGCTGGGCCTGAATGGTTAAATAATTCATACATTGTATGTAGTGTATATACATACCCCAGCTTGGAGTATATGTGTGATATACTGGGGTCCTGTGGTTCTCTATCTGTGCATGTAACACGTTAAACATGCGCATGAAGAGTTCACGAGCATCTGTTTGCAGTAAAGCTGCTTGTAGGAGTGTTTATTGCATGTATGTGGACTTTTGGCAGAATCCTGACACCATATTATTTGTTAATACTTGTTTCAACTGATAATTCCCAACCTAAGACTGAAAACATGCATCAGTTCTCTAATTTTAAGCTTTTTTTGAATCCTCACTAGGCCTGCAAGTAACGCTAATGTTGCAAATCAATTAATCTGTCAATTATCTCTTCATTTAATCAATTAATAATCGGATAGGAAAAGATTCATTAAAGAAGACTGTTTTACTAAATTAAGCTTGAGGAGTTCTGGAGCAGATTGATGGACAGAAAAGTTTTTTTTATCTAAAAAGCAAAATGTTTACTTTTTTAAACAATTTTAATATAATTGCTGCTCTAAGTGGTTTTCTCTGTCAGCTAAAGGAATGTTTTAATGTTTCTATACTCCAGTTAACAATTAATCGATTACTAGATCAGTTGACGATTATTTCAATAATTGATTAAACAGGATTAATCTGAAGCCAATGCTTAGGTTTAAACCCAGATGAAGTCATCTACCCATGTATCCTGGTCTCTTTTATCATACTTTCATTTTCTGTTTCAGATTTTATTAAATATTCTGCGCTGTTGTTAATTGAATTAGCCAAGCGTCCGCATGTTTCCCAGCTGTGATGCCTGCAGCTCGGTGGGTTAAGCTGTGTTATTGTATCGGGTTGTATTTGTCGTGTCTCTCCCATCTGCTGACTCGTTAAATTGGGCTTATTTATTTGATAAGGGTTTCCGGACTCGTGGTTTTAAGTAAACTTTGAGAATTTGGTGAAGATCAGATCATTGATATTAACTCTGATTCACAAGCCTTTAGTATAGAAACATGCTTGTTAGAATGCCATCCTGCAGTTAGTAACACTGACTTTCTTGCCATATTTCAGCTCTCTTTATGTTCCCGCTTGTTGAATCGTGTTGTTTTGTTCCAGGGTTTGTTCTGTCTTGGGGTTTTTATTGCACTGTGTAGCAACAAGGACGGTTGCTATGCAGTGCAGCCAGCCTTGCTGATGCCTTTTTAGGAAAGTGGATGCAGATGCTGCAAACTTTAAGCAGACATGTCAGGATTTCGTTTTTCTATGACTTTATGGTCCCATTCATCAGAGGTTTTTAACAGGGATGAGCTAACGTGGAAACCTCAGTGGATATCCGACATTAACGTTGGAGTTTTAGCCAAAACAATCAAATTTTCCCTACGCTTTGGACACCATGTAAATATAAGGCCGAACAATTTTGCCGAAAATCCAAATTGAGATTATTTTCAACCAATTTTGCAATTGCAATTTTATAGTGATTTTCCTGTGCAGTAAGCCAATTCTATTCAGTAAATTTTTATAGCTCCAATTCACATCATGTCATCTCAGGTCACTTTCCAGTTCACCAGATCATCCAGTCAGATTGATTCAAAGTTTTCTATGTAAGGAAAACCAGCTGATTGCATCAACTCATTGATTCTTCAGCAATCCCTCACACTAAGCATGCTTGTAGCGTTAGTGGAGAGGAAAAACTCCCTTTGAACAGGAAGAAACCTCCAGCAGAACCAGGCTCAGTGTGAGCGGCCATCTGCTGAGGCCGACTGGGGTTCAAGGAGACAGAAGCAGACATAGAAAAAGAAACATAGATACAAAAGGCAACTGTCATGTCCTGTCCTGTTGATGCTGTTTTGCTAAAACAACTTCTGCTGCTGTTGTTTAATGCATTTTAACCATTTACCATTTTTAAGCTAAGGGTATTAATTTTATGTTGATTAATTGCACTGTTATTATCAGATCTGCTGCTATTCCAACGGACATTAGTGAATGTATTAACATCTGGCCTATCTTGGACAATCTCAGAAGCCAGTTTAACTGACTCTTAGGGTTTTATTCTTTTTTTGTTTTCTTTAAACTAGTCATTTAATCTACTTCGTGTTTATTTTCTAATAGCGTGTAGTGTTTTCATAGATGTTAGATTTCTGTAATCCTGATTTATTAGAATAAAGACGTCATTGTTTAACTTGTAGTGGTTCTGTGTTTCATATAGCGGACGGTTTATCACTCAGGTCAGATCCACCCCCTTTGGTAACAGTGTGAATAAACAGAGATAAAAAGGTTTATTGATTTATGGTTTATTGATAATTAATAGCTCTGCTGATAACTTAGCCTGGGTCATTAGATTGGTGGATACCTGGATTTTAACAGCCGGTCCAGGAACCATCCAGGGGTGAAACCACAATCCCTGGTAAGTAAATTAAAGCTACAATTATTCAACTAAGAACACTAAATTCATTTCACCTCTGATTTTGAATTCTAGTTCTAGCTCATCATTTATTAATTATCTGCAGGATATTATTTTACACAACAGATTGGTTTAAATAAATTATTAAAAGCCTCAAATGAAGGTGACACATAAGAATTGTAAGAAGAAATTAAGACACTGTTCAGTTTAGAGACAGGACAGTTTTTCACTTATTTTCCTTCGGGATGAAGTTTGTTTACATGTGAAATGATTGACTTCTATCCAGTATAAACTGTATACGTACATGAACTATACATTAGGGCTGAGCCTTTTATCCATAAATAAAATTAGTCTTTTTATGTGTGTGTGTGTTTTATTTATTTTAAATTGTCATGGTTTCTCTTTCCAGAGCACATTGTCGGCTAACTTTACTAACTTTACAGTTTTGTGGTATTAAGTGCTAAAGTCTGCTTGCATGCATGGATCTGCTCGCTGCTGCAGCTCTTTCTCCCCCCAACCCACGTTAACCCCAGAAAACCTGAGGGTCTTAGGAGCAAATCCGTCTGAAATTACACGTATGAATTAAATCAAGTTCAGCTCCCAAACTATAAATTGGAAATAAAATTGATTGTATGACAGAAAGGCTTGAGGAATATTTTTTCAGGTGGAACCACTATTTTAAATGTCACCATGTCTGATTTATAGGTGATTAAAGAAAGAAAAAATGACAAATATTTAGCCTCGCCAACACTTTTCACCTAAACAAACTCTGCAAAACACCATGAAAGCTTATTAGAAACTCTGGATGAACCCTCAGATTTTATAGATCCACATCTTGACTATAACTCAAGCTAATTTGGACTGAATAAATTGAAGCATGTTTGCTCCACAAACGTTTTAGTTGGCGGTGAGCTAGGAGGAAATCAGATTTTTGGCACAATGCCAATAGTTCAAAAAATGATTTTTTTTTTTTTTTTTTTTACTCAAAAAGGGAATCTGGTCAGAACAAATATGCTGATTTCCATTATTGGAGACCTTCAGCATAAGACAAAGCCTTTACTCCTAAGATTTAGCCGTTGGTTCACTGAAATTTACCAATAATATCAGCAGCCTGAATAAAAGATAAGAATAACAGAGCAGCTTATGTAACGCATGCCACTTACATCACCTGACATGGTCGCACAATGACCTCTGACCCCTCCTTGGAAAGATCTGAACTTCTAGTTTCCAATGATGGCGGCCATTAGGGGGTGGGGCTAAAAATGAATACCTGCTGTTGCATTACTCCTGCAGAGTCACACATGTCAGGTGGAATTTTAAATCTCATTTTATTTGTTTACACAGCTATAAAACAGAAAGTATTAGTGAAAAAATTATTTTGAAACATGTTTTAAAGTCCCATTTGGAAGGCGCGTGGATGAAACACCATGTGACTGTGTATTGCCCATTTCTATAAATAGATAAACACCTCTACCGGGCCCGGCGGCTCATGGAGTTAAGCATAGTATTGCTACTGTATCTGTCGCTGTCACTCATTAGAAGTAGCTTTCTAACAGTTGAGAGCCTCCGCAAACTTGTTTTTATTTTTATTTCAGTTATATTGAAAATGCAGTTAATTGCCCAGCCCTGATTGGACAGTGCACAGTGAACACTGAACTTCAGTCTCTTTTGTTCTGCAGGCTTTGCAGCAGCTGTCAAAAACACACCCAGGCCTTCACATTGTTACTTTAGGTAAGTCTGTCCAAACTCTCTGCACCCGTTATATTGCATGTTTAGCAATATAGGTCGACCTTATAATATGTTGACTACATTATAAAGTGCAGCTGTTGTACCATGGCTGCAGGCATGTGAAGATGGGCTAATTATTCATCTCCTTCTCTATGGCAGCCCATCTTCTGAACTCACAAAGCTCAGAGTATTAAGTTAAAAGTTCTCTTTTCTGTTGTTCAATAAAAGTACGTTTTAAGATAATTTGAGGCGAGAACATTATACTTTAAGCTTCACTACATGGACCATTTACTGATTTAGTGTGGAATAAAAAAAAAAATTTCCAAAGTTGAGTGGACCACAGCAACCAGCAGAGCTCCAAGGGTTTCAGCAGCCAGGGCAGATGTTAGCCCGTCTGCAGCAGCTAGGGCTAACGTTGGCTCGTCTGCAGCAGCCATGGCCGATGTTAGCCCGTCTGCAGCAGCTAGGGCTAACGTTGGCCCGTCTGCAGCAGCCAGGGCCGATGTTAGCCCGTCTGCAGCAGCTAGGGCTAACGTTGGCTCGTCTGCAGCAGCCATGGCCGATGTTAGCCCGTCTGCAGCAGCTAGGGCTAACGTTGGCTCGTCTGCAGCAGCCATGGCCGATGTTAGCCCGTCTGCAGCAGCTAGGGCTAACGTTGGCCCGTCTGCAGCAGCCATGGCCGATGTTAGCCCGTCTGCAGCAGCCAGGGCTAACGTTGGCAAGTCTGCAGCAGCCATGGCCGATGTTAGCCCGTCTGCAGCAGCCAGGGCTAACGTTGGCTTGTCTGCAGCAGCCATGGCCGATGTTAGCCTGTCTGCAGCAGCCATGGCCGATGTTAGCCCGTCTGCAGCAGCCAGGGCTAACGTTGGCCCGTCTGCAGCAGCCAGGGCCGACGTTAGCCCATCTGCAGCAGCCAGGGCCGACGTTAGCCCGTCTGCAGCAGCCAGGGCTAACGTTGGCCCGTCTGCAGCAGCCAGGGCCGATGTTAGCCCGTGCGGCAGCCAGGGCTGACGTTGGCCCGTCTGCAGCAGCCAGGGCTGACGTTAGCCCGTCTGCAGCAGCCAGGGCCGACGTTAGCCCGTCTGCAGCAGCCAGGGCTGACGTTGGCCCGTCTGCAGCAGCCAACACCATATTTATGCTGCGTGCTCCCGTTCTCCCCGACTTGGCGAGGACACGAGTCCGTACTCACGGACGAATTGAGAAACTCAACTCAAGATGGTTAAACATAAATACTGCTCTCCACATCATCATCATCTGCCATGGTTGTTGTTTTTCTTGCCGCTTCTGTGTAGCAACACTCAGAATAGTGGCCTGTGTTGAGTATTAATGACGGATGAATCTGACCTGGCCGTTCAGACACAGGTCGCATTTGAAAAGATCCGATTCGTATCGGATTCAGGACCCCATAGCCAAGTGGCCTGGGTCGCATTGGAAAAAATCGGATCTGTGTTGTTCAGACTGCCATGAAAAAATCAGATCCAGGTCGCATATGGGAAAAAAAATCGGATTTGGGTCACTTCAGGCTGCAGTGTGAACGTAGCCTTAAAGTAGACTAAAACTTTTTTAAGTTTTAGTCGACTAAAACGGACTAAAACTATCACATATCACAATGACTGACTAATAGTTTTCGTCCTGAAGACTAAGACTAAATCTAAGATTGCTGTCAAGAACTACACTGCCGATAACGGGGCTTTACGAGAAGAGCTTTCGCAAAGCCTTCTGGGATATATCTGCTAGTCTAGTGGCCATGGATGATTACTACTTTTTAAGGTCCATTTATGGGAAATCTATAGTCCACCACTTTTTCAGACATTTTGACACTTATCTAAAATGGCGTAACCACTATGTAGTGGCCTATATAGTGATTAGGGTGAATGTTCAGACACAGCCATAATGTATTTCAGTGTGGGACTTCTAGTTTGTACGTAATGTAGGTATGTATGTCGAGATGATAAACACTGAAAATTGTAAAATGGTGTTTCTTATTTATTCCAGATGTGAGCAGGGCATCAGTTCGGCCTCTGAAGAGGTCCGGTCTATTGTGGGAGATACTGGACTCAACTGCCTGATTAATAATGCAGCCATTGGATTCTCAACCAATATCAGCACTGTCACCCCAGAGTCCATGATGACCATGTTCCAGGTCAATGCTGTAGCTCCGCTCTTCATAACAAAGGTAGGGAATGTCCAGATTCTATGGTTATTGTTATTAAACAGAATTGAGAAACATTTGAAACCAAAGCCTAACAATGTTGTTGCATTGTCCGTAGGATGAAATCCTTCAGTGATTTTCTTCTAACCAGAGCTTCTGAATTTTTCTGTTTAAAAATGGTGTCCCCCAAGGTTCAGTTCTTGGCCCAGTTTAGAACAATTATACATTAGGCCCCTTGTAACTATATCAGTACAGTTAAACAGATGTCACCATTAGCATACTCATTACATTCAGCTGTATCAATGCTTCAGTTCCTTACATAGTTTAGGAATACCAGAATTATTTCTATGCGTCAAATGCCGCAAAAATGTGAAGAATTCTCTTCGACCTTATTTAAAGGAAAAGTCTAATCAGCCAGAAATAATCAATGAATCATTATTTATACCCATACCTTTGCGGTGATAATGAATTTAGCATTAATCAGTAAAAAAATAAAAACAACAATTTTCGTCACGATCACTGAGTCTGGGAGCGGCCATTTTTTCCCAAATATAGTAACCCCTCCCTGCTGCCATCTTCCAGCAGTGACGTCACGGTGCGGTAAGCCTAGCGCCATTCTCTCCGCTTTACAAGCAAAATCAATGGGAACTACTAGACACATCTGCAATCAACAACAATTATTGAAGATTTCCAGAGGACTTCACCATTGAAATTCACCAGAGCTATAGTATAACTGACAATGCCCACATGCATGGCAGCTGGATGTTGGAATAGATCGGGTAAAAGTAAAAAAAAAGTTATTTCACCTTTCTGATTCCTGATCCTCCACGGACGGGTTGGTCGTTGGATCGCCAACTTGAAGAGGGAGGATTTGCCATCGAACTTCTGGCCAGAGAAAAAACACGTAATATGTAGCCAACATTTGGAAGAAGAATGTTTTCAAGATGACTTGGATAATAGCGCGTTGTGACAAACACCAGATACAGCACTGGGACTTGATCAACAGCCGATACCGCACCGTGACGTCACAAACCAGTAGGTGGCAGTAGTGTTCTTTGACCGACCTTCAGAATCATAGACAGGTTTCAGATATTACAGGCTAACAATGGAACTAAACGACCCACTCATCGGTTACCATTTGCATGTTTCCAAGCGATACAAGGCCTTGTCTATATAAGACTCAAACTCACTGCGGATCCAGACATTTGAATTGAGAAAGCTTCCTGAAGAGGTGGCGAAACGTCTTCAAATCTTGGAAACCAAGTCCAGTGGATATTTTTTTTTTTACTTTTACGGAAGGTCATAACCAAGCTTTTCCAACAAATGAACAACTCTATGGTTTTCTCTGTCCTCACAGAGAGGGGCTGGCAAGTCACACCTCTGTGGGAGGTCCTGTAGAAGAGTTGGCTAAAAATGGGGGGTTGGAGAGATCTTATAGCTGGTTATTCACCAAACTTTTATTTCCTTCTCTGGTCATCATGTCAAGATGAAATATGGACACTGGTTCCCAATGTCCAAAAACCATGATCATGGCATATGGCATAACACCATCGTGGATTTCTCTTGCACTAATCGAGGGGTATCACTAATTTTGTTTTCAGGCCTTCATGCCTCTGCTGCAGGCTGCTGCTGCCAGGTCCAGTGGGATGGGGATCCATAGAGCAGCTGTCATCAACATGTCCTCTGTCCTCGGTTCCATTACTTTGAACTGTGGCGATGGCGCCAAATACAAAAACTATGCCTACGGAACCTCCAAGGTCAGAACAAGCAACATGAATTGTAGTAATATTTAGGTGGTGGTAGGGGGTTGGTATGTTGGTATATCTGAGTAAATAATTCTTTAAGGCTAATATAAGACAGAGGTGTTTGTATTCTGTTTGTTTTGTATTTTAACAGGCGGCTCTGAACATGGTAACAAGGTGTCTAGCTGCAGATTTGAAGTCCAGTGGAATCCTCTGTATGTCTCTGCACCCTGGCTGGGTGAAGACTGACATGGGCGGTCCTAATGTAAGTGCACTTCTACCCCTTTACCACTGGCCTTAAAGCCAGTTTAAACCTGGGAACAATGGGCTTTTAGTGGTAGTGGGAACAGCTAACTGACACGTGTCTACCCGGGTCAAACGACTCGGCAAGAGACCCGCATTAAAATCTATCTAACAGAATGATTAGAGGCCAGTAGAGTTTTCTAAACTGCAGCAGCAGCTGATTATCAACAACAACCAGGGAGCAAGTTTTCAGACAGTAATCAGAATGTGGTTTATAAGGCAGTTTTATTGTTTTTATTGTTTTTTAGCCGCTGTCCTCCTCTACTGTTGACATTTAGTTTAGAGGAACTCTTGTTAAGCCCCTGTCACATCTTGACGTTTTAGCCAGTGTACGTCTGACGTACATAAAATTGGGCAAAAACGCTGACATACGTTGGATTACTTATGGGCACGCTGAAGTGCGATGAAACACGCAGGAACACGTCCACATACGGCGAGTACGTCAAGAAGCTTTAAGCATACTCAAAATTTCCCTCCGTATACCAGCATATGTTATACATGGGCCATCAGTTCCAGGTCAGTTATCTAGACTTAGACTTAGACAGATTTATTTGTCATTTTTTTACACAAGTGTAAAACAAAAAGAAATTTCGTTTAGAACAGCTCTCTGGAAAATTTCTTTTTTTTTTTAAGTCCAGCCTTGAAAAATTGTTAAAAGTATATAAAAACAGCAATATAAACATATGACTGTAAATTTACAGTTCTAACATTTTCAGTTTTTTTGTATAAAAGTAAATATTTATAAATATAATAAAATACAATATAATAACCCATTCTACAAAACATTCATCAGTGTGATGGCGGTGGGGAAGAAGCTGTTGCAGAACCTGCTGGTCCTGCATTGAATGCTGCAAAGCCTCTTCCCAGAGGGCAGCAGGGAAAACAGTCCATGGTGGGGGGGTGAGGGGTCATTGATGATGTCACGGGCTCGGAACACGCAGCGCTGGGATGAAATGTCTTTAACGGAGGGAAGAGGAGCCCCCATGATCCTCTCTGCTGTTCTCACCTTCTTCCAGTCTGAGGCGCTGCAGCCTCCACACCACACAGTGAGACAGTTGGTCAGAACGCTCTCTATGGTGCTTCTGGAGAAGGTGGGGAGGATGGGTGGGGGCAGGTGGGCTCTCCTCATCCTGTGCAGGAAGTCCATGTGCTTCTGGGCCCTTTTGACCAGTGAGGTGGTGTTTCCAGTCCAGGTGAGGGTGTCTGTGATGTTCACCCCCAGGAATTTGGTGCTGCTGACCACCTCTACAGCAGAGCTGTTGATGAGCAGTGGAGTGTGGTTTAATCTTCTCCACGTTCAGGATCAGGCCGTTATCTTTGCACCACCAGCTGCTCCACCTTCTCTCTGTAGTCCAGGTCGTTGTCGTCTCTGATGAGGTCCACCAACGTGGTGTCATCTGCAAACTTCACGATGTGATTGGTGGTGAACCTGGGGATGCAGTCGTGTTATCAGGATGAACAGCAGGGGGCTCAGGATGCAGCCCTGAGGGGAGCCTGTGCTTAGACTGATGACATCAGAGGTGTTCTGTCCGACCCGGACTGACTGAGGTCTGTTGGTGAGGAAGTCCTCATCAGTCGTGGCGTCTAGCGTATCCTAAACCTCTAAGTAACTTATGCATAACTTCTGCGTAACTTATCAAGAACTTCTCTCTAACTCATATCACGTATCTGACGTGTTCCAGACGAGCACTGAACGTGTTTCTAACTTCCAGCTACTGTATAATGGCGTATTGGCAGCGTTTTGGTATAAAGGGGGTTCACAGGAGGAAACCATCAGTTCTCCTCCAGACTTCATCCCCATCATAGGGTGAGCCAGAGGGTGAGGGTGATGGATCCTCCCTGCGTTCACACCCACCACCAACAAACTTCCTAGCAGACATGATGCTCAATCTGCTGCCACCAAAAACCTGCTTTCTTTCTTTCTGTTTATGTTTTTTATTTTTTGGGCAGGCAGTAAACAGCAGCTAGGTTAAACCCTCAGGACACTGGCTTGTGCATCATTTCATGGGCATCACGCTTCTGTGTTTTATGCAGAAGTTAGGCTGTCGTTTGAACTAAATTCTGGACTCGTTATGAATACTCTATATATATACGTCAAAAATAGAAAAAATACATAGAACGTTCAGCGTATGTCAGCGTTTTAGAAGATTCTGGGATGTCAGGCAGACGCTGGATAAATCAGCAAGGTGTGACAGGAGCTTTACTCTAACCATTCATCTTCCAGCTGGGTGTTGAACAACTACAAATCCTGCAATGAGAACCTATTTCTGTGTTTCAGGCCGAGTTAACAGTAGAAGAGAGTGTTTCTGGAATCCTGTCTGTCCTCTTCAGCCTCAGTGAGCGGGACCACGGAGGATTCCTCGACTACCGTGGACAGAGCCTGCAGTGGTAGAAGGAACCACCAGGGTTCATGTTTAGCTGCCATGAGGTGTTTGAATAAATGGAGGAAGCTGCACAATCAGGTCTCAGTGTCTGAACATCTGCAAGTAAAAAGCCTCTGAAAACATCATTGTTGTTAAGCTTCTACTATTACAGACAATAAAAATGAAAAGGAGACATGATATCATAGCTGCTTTATTAGATTTATTAATATTATTATTATTAATATTAGTTATAACTTGTTTATCTAGAGAGAGAGCAGTTTAAAATAATCATTGTAAATCCTTACTTTTAATAAACATTAAATGTCCACATGAAATGTTTTAAAGGAGTCATGGTGACCTGGAGATCTGACATTTTCCTATTTAAATGTGAGATACATCACAATGTGTGACTGAGCGTATATTCATCCTGAGTGTGCACTGAGGAAGGCTCAGTCGGTATGCAAAGGGTGAATGTGTGACACGTGAAGCAAAGCATCCCACCCAATATCACCTTTAATGGTTCTTAATGGTTGTTGGTGATATTTGACAATCAATCAGAAGAAGGAACCAGACAGACTTGAGGTGAGCGGAGAACACGAGAGGTGGACTCGGTGTGGAGGTTGCTTGGGAGGGATCCTTAAGGAAGGTAACGTGAGGAAACCTGGGAGACACAAAGGTAACCAATTAAGCTTGGAGGAAACTTATCTTGAGAGGGAGACAGTGGCCTGCAGTCATACCACAACTGATAACACTCTGGCATCCTCCTGCTGTCCGCATGCAGCTCTTATAGCGCGGCGAGACACTGCTGAACCAATCCCTGGTGTGCGTGCCCCGCCCACCAGTCAACTGGAAACACCTGTGAAGAAAAGCACACAGAGGCAGCGCCAGCAAACAGCATGGCTCTGCTGACTGAGTCCTGACAAGAATAAATCAATTACAAAAGTAATAAATCATAAGGAAAATAAAAAAAAGTAATAAAAAATAAAGAACTTGGGGCTGAAAGCAGTAAGATGAGCCTGTACTTTGTTTTTCTTTCCCACAGACTAATAATAATGGGCATCCACTTTTTTTCTTATTGCCTCTTGGCCTTTTTTGTGTTTTTGTGTTGTATGTCAGAGCCTGTATGTGCCTCCCACACCCCTTCTCTTATGTGTTACTACAGATTTTCCTAAACTATTATCTTTTTTTTTTGGTCCATGAGAAAAAACTATATGATTTCTTGGCATTTTAAAGGTGTATCAAAAGTAAAAGATATAAAATTATTACACATTTCAAAACTCTTGCTTGTGATATAGCTTTACTCCAGGAAAGCCATTTAAATGAGAAAGAGTCAGTAAAACTAAAACAAAGATAGGTGGGTCAGGTTTTCTCTGCCCCTGGAAATGGGGCATCAAGAGGGGTTAGTATATTTATCTCTAGAAGCATGAATTTCACCGTAACAAAGCAGATAACTGACAAAGAAGGTACATATTTTATACTATCAGGATTTTTACAAAATGAAAGGTGACAATTGTCAATGTTTATGCACCAAACATTGGACAAAACACTTTCCTATCTAATTAGAATATATTAAATGACCTAAATGTTGTCAGCGATGCGACGTTGGACAGATCGAATGGTCCCCTCCCGTCTGAAAGAGCACTGTCAAACGCACTCAGAGAGCTACAAGACTCTCTAGGTTTATCTGATATATGGCATATGGCAGTGAAGAAATACTCTGATTCTGATAAAACTTGCTCGATAGCCACGCTAACGCTAGTTTCATCGGCTGAAGCTGCCATGTTCTTTAGACTGAACTGTCGCGCTTCTCGTTGCGTTAAACCTCAACCCGCCTCAAAGCCAACGCTGATTGGACGTTCGTTTGGTGAACTGCTCCAAATTTTCTTTAACGGAAAGTAGCCAGACTGATCTGGGAGTGAAACCTTGAAAGCTCGCGAGATCAGGATGGTCTCACCAGGCTAATAAAATCTCTCTTTAAAGGAAAAACACCAGGAAATGATGGATACATTTCTGACCACACTGTTTAATGACATCATAGAAAAGCAATTTATGCCTCCAACTATGCGGCAGGCCTCCTTATCCCTAAAACTGGCCAGGATAATGAGTAATTATAGACCATTGAGCATTCAAAACAATGATTACAAGTCATTTGCAAAAACACTTGCCAACGGGAAAAAAGGCCGTTTGGCCTTAAACAACATAAGGAGGCTACTGCATGTAATGAAGAGGGCAGAGGACTAACAGCATCCAGCGATTGCTGTGTCGCTGGATGCTGAAAAAGCCTTTCGCAGAATAGAATGGGAATATTTGTTTTTTGTTCTTGCTAAATATGGTTTTGGCCCAGATTTTGTCAAATTGGTTAAAGCATTATACCATCAGCCAGTAAAAAGAATTAAAAGTAATGGAATGCTATCTGAACCCATGCACCTATATCGGTCCACACGCCAATAGTGTCCGGCATCGCCTTTACTTTTTATCTTTGCACTGGAACCCCTGGCTATAGCCATTCGGATAAAAAAAGATATTAAAGGAATTAGTGTCACCAACTATTGTCATGAGCGCGGACAGATGGACCCAGTATTCAAAGAAAGACAGTCAGTAGGAAAGTTCAAAAAGTTTATTAAAATAAAACAAAAACTGAAGTGGAGCTGAGGCTCACGGACACTGCAGGAGGGGCAGCGGGGCACCGCCCAATCTCAGACACTCTAAGGGAGAAACACAGGTAAGTGTCCGTGACCATGACCATCTGGCAAAGGATGATTATCTGAGTTGGCCACTTACCTGGTTTAACAGTCCAGTCCTAGAATGTCCCCAAGTGCTGCAGTTCCAGAGGTCATGCTGGAAGCCGGTCCTGGTCAGGGATCCAGAACAGACAGGAACAGACAGAACAGGCAGGATCCAGATCAGGGAGGAACAGAAACAGGATGGCAGAATCCAGACTTCCAGGCATCCACAGGCTTCCAGGAGGGTTCAGAGTCTGACTGGGACCAGAAGCATGACCAGGTGGTCACGCACAGGAGCAGACAGGATCAGGTGCAGACAGGCAGGCACAGTGGAAGAGGGTAGCCGAGACAGTACGTAGGAACCGGAACTTGAAGCAGGACTTTAAACTGGTGTCCTCCCTGGAGCCAGGGTTACTGAGATAAAAACTGAACCTCCCCACATATAGAGTGTTAAGGAAGAAAATATTCTAAATAGTTAACTTTGGAAAAAGTTTGGCTCTCTCTCTTCCTCTGGATCCCAGGCCCTCCCGGCGAGCCAGCCAGGAGTCGAACCTAGAGTCTTCTGATAAACAATAGAAGCCTCATTGCGAGATCCCCTTTGATCTACATTTTCCTTCCTGTACTTTGAATACTTACCCATCAATAGTTTAGTTTTAAATCATTAACACAAACTTGTTCAAAATTAAGAAATATGTTCAAAATGAGAGTGTTCAACATACCTTTTACACATGCCATAAGATTAACTGTATTAAAAACTAAAAATAATAATTTTTTCTTAACAAGAGCCAAAAACCCAGAGGACTCCATGGGGGAGGAACAGTGGACGATCAGGAGACGAGACAAACACTAAAACCCTCTTTCCACTGGCCGCTAGGATCCAGGACATGAACCATGACAAAAAACTAAACAGACAGACTAACAGAAAGACAAGTAATGATCTGGCACTGAATTCTCCGGCTGAACTAAATATAAACCAGAGGAAACAGGTGAGGGGAATAAATTATAATTGAGGCAGGGAGGGAAAACGGCAGGTGAGAGGAATTACTAATTAGGGAGGAGCAAACAGGCCAGATCATGACAACTATGAATTTAAATTGAACCTATTTGCTGATGATATTTTACTAGACACCTTAGGTGTGAGTGTGTGTGTGAATGGTTGTTTATCCCGTTTGTCTCTGTGTTGCCCTGCGATGGACTGGCGACCTGTCCAGGGTGTACCCCGCCTCTCTCCCATTGACAGCTGGAGATAGGCACCAGCACCCCTCATGACCCCAATTGGGACAAGCATGTCAGATAATGGATGGATGGATTTTACTAGACATAACAAATTTATAAAAATCTATCCCTAAACTATTTCAATTAATTGAAGCCTTTGGCTATATATCAGGATACAAGGTAAACTATACTAAAAGCGAAACCATCCCACTTAACAACTATACTTTCCAATCACACTGCCATGGAACTGCTGTTTTTCAGTGGAAACCTTGGAATTAAAATAAAGTTTCCTATAGAAACTTTGGCGGACTTGAATATAAATTATGTTACTAAAACAATAAGAGAAGACCTTAAACGATGGACAATATTACCCCTTTCACTGTGGGGCAGAGCTAAGACTTTAAAAACATATCTCTTACCAAAACTGACCTTCATAATCTCATCAATTCCTCTTAAATTTTCTACAAAATGGTTTAAAGATTGAAATATAGTATTCAAAGATTTTTTTTGGGAGAAATAAAAAACCTAGAATCAGTTATAAAAAATGTATTCAAAGCCGTAATAAAGGCAGTATTGGCTTGCCTGATGTTTATTTTATATTATATTTCATTTAATTCAATATATCCTTTAAAATGGGCATATAGCAACTTGGGAATGGCTCGAAGAAAAAATAGTAAAAGAATATAACTCAGATTTTTCTCTTGCAATCCTTTGGTACAGCCCTAAGGCAGCTAATGCACTCCACTAGTAAAATGTTTAGGAGATATCATCAAAATGCTGCATAAATACTTTAATTTCAATAGAAAACCCTTACCTTCCTGTCCCCTATGGTCTAACCCGCTTTTTATGGCAGGTAAAAAAAATCCTAAAGAACAAAGTGTGGCAACAAAACAATATTCAAAATACATCACAATTAATTATAAATGGAGAAAGAATAATTTTCTTTAGTTATTTAAAGAAAGAGTATAGCCTCAATGACACAATTTTTTTTTTATTACTTACAGATTAAATCCATTCTGAAATCTTCACTATCTCAAGAAAACAGCCTGGGGGACCAAAAGGACCTTGAGGATAAATTAAAACATGCTGCTGCGAACAGAGGCACTGTGTCAAAAATATACAGACTATTGTGTAATACTAAAGCAGATCATAAATATGTTGTAAAAAACAATGGGTAAAAGACATTGGTGTG